GCGACGCGGTTTAATCGGGCGCGCTTTAGTCGAGCGCGGTTTTGTCGTGCCACGCTGTGGGTCACCCTAGGGCAGGACAAAGGATGCCAAGGAGACTTACAGCATCCTGTCCACGGAGGGGCTGTTCTGATCTAGAACCATGATGGCGAATCTATGTCCCAGTTCAGCCCCACCGTGCACTGGCCAACTGATTTTCGGGTCACTGACACGCATGTGCAGGGGGCGTGGTGTATTCAGGAGATGTGTGCGCATGTGGGAGGGTAGCATGCATATGGGGGGCAGGGGGTGCATGCGCAGGGGATGGGGGGGAGCACAGGGTGGTGCGCCCCGCCTCCAATGGCCCATTTTTGGTCCCAGGAGGCAGCAGGGCGGCCTACTATGCTCAAAAAGGTGCACGGGGTGGGCTGTTGCATGCACGGGGGGCTGGGGGGTGTCATGTGCGCATGCACAAGGGGGCATGTATTGCATTATGGGTGCAGGCATGTGCGCGCTTTCGGCAGGCAAAGACCAAAAGATTAGCCATCACTGGTCTAGAGCTGGAGAATTCTGGGAGTTGAAGTCCACAAGTCTTAAAGTTGCCAAGTTTGGGAACCACTGGTCTAGAGGATGGATTTGCTTAGCAAGCATCATCAGAAAGACCCTTGGCATTGAGTGGGGGGGGAGCTTTGAGTCTCCCCTTCCTGTATTTGAACTTGCAAAACTTTCTGCCCTGTTTTCCAGGAATCAATCAGCAGTTATTTTGAACATCTTTTCCACAACCCCAGAAGGTTGCTTTCGATCTTTCGGGATATGAGTCCTGAGGATTTTCAAGCAGCCATGAAGTACCTCTTTGGAAGGACCCAGAAGTATTTGGTAAGGACGGTTGCAGAGGCAGTATTCAGCCGGTTCGCACCGGTTCACTCGAAGCGGTAGCGGAAATTGCGGGTGGGCCTGCTCTATGCTGTCCTATTTAGGCACTTTTTCAAGCTGTGCGCATGCATGCAAGCCGCACGTGCAATAAAAGCGCATGTGCGGAAGGCTAAGTGCATGCGTGGAACGGGGCCACGCATTTCTGTGTGCTCCCATTTGCAAAA